TCCTCCTCCTCCTCCTCCTCTGGTTCAAGGCCAAGAAACGCCTCCCCCTCCTCCGGTTCAAGGCCAGGAGACGCCTCCCCTTCCTCAACGGCGTCGTACTGGCCGGGAGACGCCTCGATTGCCATCTCCGCACCCCCCTGCGACCCCTCCTCCCCGGCATTGAGGTCCGAAGGCGCGCGATTGGGCCGCGCCCAATCTTCGTCCTCCTCGCTGCTGTCTTGGCCCTTGCCCCTCAGCAGGTGCTGGACGGGGTCGGCGGTGGACCGGAGCGCGGCGGCCTGGTGCGCCTGGAGCTGGCGGAAGCGTCGGGCGATGGAGGCCTGGAGGGAGGAGATGTGGGCGTCTACGTCGGCCCAGGTGAAGGGGACGGGGATGGGGGAGGCGGCGAGGAGGCGGTCGAAGGACTCCCGCAGGCGCTGCTTCTTGGCGGGGAGGGCGGCGATGGCGGCCTCCAGCTCCGCCGTCGACGTCGCCGACGCCATCGGAGGCCGGCCGGCCGGCCGGTCGGTCGGGCTCGCCGGAGTGGGGATTCCGGGAAGGGGCTGGGGTTTTCTTGCCGGCGAGCGGAGGGGCTGGTTGGTTGGGGTTTAGAGAGGGAGAGAGATGGTGGGTGCGTGTCAGTCGGGCATTCTTCGCCCCCTGTTCAGTTCCGTCGCGGGGCCCACCTGCCAGTCCCTGGCTTGTCTTTTACCGCTTGGTTTGGGGGCAGTTGGGAAGAGGGGGTCGTATTCATTTTACTTTCACCGTGTGAGCTATTTACTGGGTTGGTGGAATTTATGAGACTGGGATTTTAGGTCTTTGAGGAGTGTGCAACTTCTTTTTCAAGTTTTACTGTAAAAAAAGGAAAGAAAAGACTAACAAAAATGCTTGCACAAACCTTCGCGTAAAATCAATGACACACGACTTAGATGTGCTTTGGTAGAAATGCAAATTTCCGTTCCCTAAAAAAAATGCAAAATCCCGGGACTGGAAATAAATATCACATGAGTGAGGCTTTCTGCGTAGGACAACCTGCATTCGAATTCTTCTGAAGCTATGTCCAGTTTGTCCAATGATGCTCCGGTTCGCTCGGCGTATGGCCGGTTAGTTTTGGAGACTAAGGAACTGATGAGTGAGAGGGAGCTTTTACCTCGGAAAATTAGCCCCTAGTCAAAATAGAGTTGCCGATTGGTTGGCCACCTATATAGCCGGTCCAAACGAGCTACGGCTGTGTGGTTGGGCTCGATTCCACCTTGTATCGAGGACTTGTGGCCTCTTGACTGTAACTTTATGAACTTGCAATAAAACTCCCTTTTGCCTCGCAAAAAAAAAAGAAATAGATATCACATGAGTGGGGCTTTCTGCATATAGGACAACCAAAGG